ATTCCTTCTCCAACATACCTGTAAGTAAAATTTTTATTTGGTGCCAGCATCTTACTTATCTTATTCAAAGGTTCAATCACCTACCAGTGCACAAAGGCTCTCTTCGCATACATCAGGTCAAATTTGTGATCGAGTCTTGCCCAAGCTTCAGCAATGGCGGTAGTGTTGGAAAGCATGCACACTGCTCTGTGCAGCTTGGCGAGATCGGCTCCTGGTACCACCGTTGGTGGCTGGTAGTTAATGCCAACCTATACGTTGGTTATTTTACTGCGGACATTTCCAAACTAAGACAGCTGAACACCCACTTTGAAACCAGTTGGTGACCAATCCACAAACTGAATTGTACGTTTTGTTTTCACAGCCGCTATGGCCGCATTCACATCCTTTGGTACCACGTCGCCGCGGAAAAGCAGACAGCAAGCCTAGGCAGACATTTATGAGGATAAAGTAGTTAAGATTCCGGGGAGGATTGATTTGAAGGTTGGCGAAGGAGTGGAGGTCAATTACTATAAGTGGGCGGGACTGGCACCGGAGTGGGCGGGGTCCGCAACAAATCTTGGTGTTATGGAGCATTCTTAGGAGTCATGTGGCAAGCACTGCTCATTTTTATCTTTGAAATAATCCAACTAGTCAGGCCACTTACCATGTACTTTCCTCGTCGAGGATCGCACTTCACCATTTGGGCTCCAGGCTCGAAACATTGCTGCGTGATGTCGCCGACCTGTAAGATGTGTTGTTCACTTACTCGAAAACTTAATCTCTGCAACTTCTACCCAAGGACTCAATACCTTCTAAAATTAGCTTACCAAATTCTACCGGCTGCTTGCCACACTAAACCCCGATTAACCATCCTTTTTGACCCTCTATTCCGCTACTCGTGATTTAAGCAATTTAACTGCTTATCATGCATAGCGTTGTGTAAGCTACCCCTTGTACGGTAATTCCAAATCGCTTCTCTCAAAAATCCCCACTTCCTTCATACCAATTTTCGATTATTCTATTAACCTGTGCGGTTTCTACTATACCCCTCAAATGCTTCTACGGATGCCGTGCCTTTTTTAGATGTCAAATCATTTTTGTGATGTTCGGGGTCAATTACATGCAACATTTCCGAAGAATAACCGCTATTGAAAACTGCCTTAGTGAAAAGATAGGGCTAATGATATTATCAAATCATGGTAGCCAAGATAGCAATAAAATTAGGTGGGTTCTCATGAATATCAATAATTTGGCGAATCCTCGAAT